AATACTTCTACAGTAAGTGATAGTTTTTTAATGATTTCTTTACTTTGTGGTTTATAGATAAGTAGAAGTCTTGTTGTTCGTTACAGCAGTAAAAGTGCTGAGCCTCCATACATTCAAGTATCAGTAAAACCTGATCAGTCTGAACCTGTTGCTGATGAGATGTCCCATTCTTTATCTATTGATGGTGTACAAACATCATCTGATGCATCTACTGTTCAATGGAATATTGAAGTATCTAAGAATGACTTATTATCAACCACTCCTTCACCAAGTACTGTAATTATTTATTTACTTATTTATTATTATTATTATTATTATTATTATTATTATTGTTATTTTAGTTGTTCCATCAGTTGTTGCTGCCACATCAACTGAAAGAGTACGACCAGAAAGTAAAGCTAAATATTTATTTTATTTTATTTCATGTTCATCTATTAGTTATTGCACCAGTTATTCCAGAAGTTGCTTATAGAGTGATGTCAGAATGTATTTCAGGTTTCAAACACTGTGGGATTGGTCTTCACTTTTTAGCAGAGAAGTTATTAGAGAAGAAGATAATAAATAATAGACAAAAGAAGACAGCTACTGATGAACGCAGTAGATGTACAACTGATGAGAGAATGGATCAGCTACTTGACATTATTAAAGACTCTGTACAACAAGAGGGAAAGGTTTTTGAGTATATTTTAGAAATACTCAAAGATGAAGATACTATACTAGCTAACAAACTGTATGATTATATGATTAGTAAATATGAACAATATAAATAATAGCTTTTGTATTTGCCAAATATTTAATTATAATGTGCCTTTTTTATTTTTGATAATTATAAAATCAAAGCCACCCATTTTTTGATGTACTTTTGCTGTGTAAAAAGTTTGAGGTGATTCTGAATAAAATTATTCGAGTTATGGCCATTTTAAAAATGAGCCAATTTCAGAAAAAACCATAGACTATAGCCAATGTTTTTTTCCCGAAAAATGGCTCCAAAATCACTGATCTTATCAACTTTACTTCCCAACTGCTGTGAGACTTGACTGATAGTACCATTTAGACCTTGAAGCATATCAGTGTGTGCTTGGGCTTGTTATTGCTGCCTAGCTGTGTTATTGGCAAGAACTTGAAGAATCTGGTATGTAGCATCATCTGTATTCAAGTGTGATAGTGTAACACCATTGATACCCAGTAGTATTATAAGGATAAGGATTATGAAGGCT